ATGTATGTATGTATGTATGTATGTATGTATGTATGTATGTATGTATGTATGTATGTATGTATGTATGTATGTATGTATGTATGTATGTATGTATGTATGTATGTATGTATGTATGTATGTATGTATGTATGTATGTATGTATGGATGGATGGATGGATGGATGGATGGATGGATGGATGGATGGATGGATGGATGGATGGATGGATGGATGGATGGATGGATAGTTTAAAATGCATAAAGAGAGTTTGTCATCTTGACATCCAGAGGAAGATTTTGTAACAGGACAGAAAAGACACGTGTGTCTTTTCAGCAGAGAACGAGAAAAAAGTCTGATCAGAAAACCTGAGAGGTCCAGAAGGAGCAGAAAGAGTTAAAAGTTTATCGATGTGGGAGGAGCCTGATTGATTACGGCTTTAAAGACAAGAAGGAGGACTTGCTGAGTCAGCACTCACACTAATGATTTCTTGTTTAAAGTTTATTCCAAACATTTTGTTTTGTTTTCAATCAAAAAACCTTTTGTTTAATGCATCATAATTAGACTTAACAACAACACAAATTGTTTATAGCGAGGTCCTGTAGAAAAGTTATGACAATAGCTGACCTTTTGCAGAAAGTTCTTTGAACAGTCTCAATTTGGAAAAATAGAGTTTAATCCTGATCAGACTGACGAGCTAACGGCTAGTCATCGAGTCGAGAGCAAAGTGGATTGCTTGGAGTTGTTTTAAGACTGAATCACTCCACACTGCTCTCTGCTGCTTTCAGACTAGCCATTAGCTCGTCAATCCAGTCGAAGTTAAACATTGTTTCTCCAAACATTCAAAGACATATCTACAGCAGCTAAGCTAACAATTGTTCATAACCTTTGAACAGAACCCCACTTGAAAAGATGTGAACTGTTGTTGTTGAGTAAATATTACAACAGATGCTTGTGATTTCAAACAATAACAAAAATGGCAGATTCACTGTCGACGTGTTTATATGAGATGTTTGCCTAGCTGAGAGCTTTAATTTCATCTTCGTGTGAGACAAACTTCAGTTCAGCAGCTGGTGACAAAGCACATTTAAAAACTAGTAATTAGAAAACAAGCAGGCACATCTTCTTTAAACCACTTCAGAAAATGCTGGAAAACCCTGTGAAGCTGAATGGAGAAACAGACAGCGGCGAACCGTGACTACAAGAGCTCGGCCTTCAGTTAGGACATAACGTAACACGATAACGTGAAAACACTATGAAGTTACAATCCAATTACATCCCTTCATTTACAGTTTCACAAACCAGAAATTCGCCGAACAGGAAACTCTTTCCCCTGATTTATCCATCAAGTGCAACATCTGAACACATAACCTGAGAAAGTCCACCGGTTTCTGTCCCAAGACAACCCAGCATGCAATGTGGCTCATCCGGTCCCTTGCATTCAAGTACAACATGTAATCTAAATAACTAGGATGGAAATGTAACAGTAACCCACTGAACTTACTTTATCTGTAACATTTCATCATGTAATGAAACAAAAACTGCATTTTCTTTGGGCTGCGACCTAGAGGTCGCCACTGCGAGCCAACTCGAACGAGGATTTGGCAACTGTTTTTACGCCGTACGTCTTTCATGACACATCCACAGATCAACGAGCTACCACAACCCTCTGTGTGGAGCAGAGAAGCTGGGCCTTGCTCAAGGGCCCAGAGTGGGGCTAATGAGGATGGAGGCAGATGTGGGTGCTTCACCTTTCCCACCCAAATTTATGTTGTTGGTCCGAGGATTTGAACCAGCAACCTTTCAATCACAAACCCGCCTTTAACCTCTGCGCCACAACTCCCCCAATTATTAATGTGAACATAAATAGGATAATTAACCTTCTTTAGAAAAACCCTGCAATTTTAGTGTGGATTTGTTAATTTACAGGTTGCAGTTGAATGCATCACAAACCTTAAAAGTGGTTAAAAAAATAAAATTAAAATAAACGCATGCAAGGCCTTCCCGAAGGCTCAGCGCTCCGATTTTTTTGGTCAACACCACTCTACAATCATATTCTACCATGTTGTTGTTAACTATATTTGTTTTGGACCTTGGAAATATTATATTTCTTTTTCACTTTTGGGTACTTTAATTTATACCCTTAGTGCATGCTTTAGTATTTCTTGTTTGTTTGTTTTTAGCGATTGCCTATGACAAATAAACAACATAAACAACATAACCATTGTGACTGGTTAATTTTCCCATCAGTCATTGAACAGACACATCCTGCAGAGCCTGACTGAGTTCAGCCTTCTCTCCTGACAGTGAAGTCCTAACCAGTGACAGCTCCTTCAAACATGGTTCTGCCCGGAGACAAACATTTAAAAGAATCTGATTGGATGAAACTGCATTTTCATGAATTAAAAACGTGTCTTGCTCAAATGCAAAGTGGTTTACAAAAATGACTACACTTTTTATTACTACTTTCAAAAAAATATATATTATAACATTAAATAGAAATTTAAATGTAACATTTCGTATGTGCTGAATTCTTAGGCCTTCTCTGAAAGCGTTGAAGCTCCCGAGGGTTCCCCATTGGAAACAAAGCAGCATTATTCCTCTTAGTGATAAGAGAAAACTCACCCTCAGCTTCACTGATAGGAGGGCAACATCTGAATGTATGAGGCCATAATAATCAGACTCTACTACTTCAGCTACTGCTCAAAATACCAACATCCGCTCAGTAATAATCTAATCTATGACAAAACGCCTACATTTTAATGAGAACACGTGCAGGAAATATAACAAATTAAAAAGTCCTTCACTTACAGTTTTGAAAAGAATATTGTGAGCTGAAATATAACTAAATCAGTAATCTAGGAGAATGTGAAAGAAAACCATAAATCCTAAAGCAGTAAAGTACTGGGTAAAGGAAGACAAAAATCCCTATTTTGATGTATAATTTCTAGATGTAATAATAAATCTGTGGGAGTAACGAGTAGTTTGTTTGCTTGAGATTTGAATCTTTTAGATAGAGTAAGCATGTGAATTAATGCCAAATGTCAGGTAAAGTCATCAAAAAAAATCATGCAACTTAAAACTGCAACTGCATAAAAATAGTAAAAACTATCAAAATACCAGCCCAGTCACGTAAAATCCAACTTTCTGTGACACGATTAAACTTTAAACGATGTTTCTACTGTGAAGTATGTCTGAACTACGGAGCTCCAAAGAGGCCTCGGTCTTCTCCACATTTCACCTAAACCCAAATGTTATTTAATGGGGAAAGTAACTGCATTTGTTTGTTTTTTGCTTTTTTGTCCACGTCGACTGATGTACCACTACTAGCAGTCACTCAGTCCAGATCGAGCCGTACGCTTTGATGTAGAACATGCACTGAAGTGCTCTTCAAGTTTACAGAGGCTGGTGTGAGCGGTGCAGGTCTATGAGACATTAAGCGTCAGTACACAGAGCTGTGAATAAAAGGAGCAGCAGAGGCTCCTGAGTGTTCAGCGTGTCGTACTCACACAGTGGGGGCAGCTCCACTTCCCCTCGGGAGCCTTGTCCAGCTCTGGCTCAAGGCAAACAAGGTGATACGCTCGAGGACACGTGTCACACAGGATGATCTCACCCCCCTGCTGGCACACCTCGCAGTAGTCCTGGTGATCCGTCTCATAGCCGTCGCCCTCCTCCTCACCTGGAACTGACACTGACATTAAAAGGGATTAATGCGTTGTGATTGATCTGTTCAGGGTTTTGGATTAAAACAACACTCATTCTTAAACTGATGATTCAGTTCATTCTGGGTGGCATAAAGTGGGCAATAATGTGTTTTTTTGTTGCCAGTGTTAGCAAAGTATCAGTGCATGAGAATTTTATGAAAACTCTTAAAAGGTAATCATTGATGAATGTCTACAACCAATTAATTTTTGGAGTCAACCCAATTCAAGATGGCTGCCGCAGCCAACAGACTCTGAAAGCACAATAAAGGCTATCACTCAGTCAATTTATCAAATATTTACCTAAGAAGTGGTGTAGCTGAAACTTGTTCAAAGTTTTCTACAGCAGGTAAGATGTTAGTTGTTGATAACCTTTCCGCAGAACCCCACTTCAAAAGATCTGAACGAACAATTTAAACTTTAGGAAGAGGAACTGCTTCATACAGACAGCAGCACCCTTCTCATATCTGCCTCCTCACTGCTACAGCTGACTACATGAATATCCTACAAATACAAAAAGTGCAAGAAAACATCCTAATATTTAAGAAACCTGGCTTAATACACAAATTTCACCCATTTGGTCACGTGACTGGCATTTCTTTGTAACTTGGCACTGTCAAAGTGAAACAGGAAGTGACATCAAAGGGGAACTCCCTGTCATTGTTTATTGAAACAATATTAATTAAACTCTGACTCGTTATCTCTCTCTGATAAATGACTCAAAATCATCTGTCGGCGTTGTTACCATGGTAGCAATGCTCTGTTTACATGCAAGCGTTCCCCTTTGACATCACTTCCTGTTACTGTGCATGAGAATGTCAACAACTTTTCATCTCAGTGGCATGAAATATTTTTTTGCAATACGTTATTAATGTTATTTTTCTAAAAACAAATTTGTTTTGTACTAAAATATATCACAGGCACTATGAAGCAGAAAAGACCAGACAGGATAGAAAACATATATGGAGACTGGTTGAAGTCAAATTGCTGAGTTTAAAAAAAATAAAATAAAATCCCAATTTGTAACCCAGCACTGGTCAAATTTGGACTGAACCAACCTGGGTAGTTTTAGCTCAGCAGGGTTGGGTTATCAGTTTGACTGGGTCTACTCAAAACTGAATTAAAATGACTGATTTGTTGAATTAGAGCAAACAAAAGTAGCTAACAACAGCTATTAGCATCAGTTAGCTAGCACCAGCTAATGTGATTTGAGGAACCAAACCTCAGCAAAGTGCAAACAACGATATTAACAAAACCAAACATCTTCAACAAGTTTTTTTTTTATTGTCTTATCTTTACTTATGATGTGTGACTGCTTCTAAAGCAGGGGTGCCCACACTTTTTCATCATGCGAGCTCCTTTTAAAATGACCAAGTGATCTACCTACTATAAAGCCCTGTTTACACAAGAACAGCCTCTGGAAACGTTAGTGTTTTTTTCTATGTTTGTTGGGTGTAATAAACAAAAAATGAGCAAGTTTACACAAAAACACTGTAGTTTCCTTTTCAGTCAAGTTGCCAGATAAGAAAATATGAACTATAGTACTGTCGCTTTAAAATGATGGTATTTTGATCTAAACTGTGATATGTGCTGAGTGAGGTGTGTGTTGCGTTTGTTGAACATGTGCACAGAAAAGGAGGGGGTAAATGAGAAATATTATATTTATCTGGCAACCCTGATGTGGCTCAGCTGCATTCATTGTGCATGCAGCGTCTGTACGATCACAGTAACTTACTCCAAACTGGTGACTACACTACATGTCTCTTTGGACCCTGGAGTTTATTAGTTTTGCTCCTTCGTGCTGAAAAGGGGTGAGCAGCACAAAAAACACTCTGCTCTCAGGCGGTTGTGGTGTAAATGAACAGGGGCCTCAGACTGGCTGCCCTGTATGTCAATCAAGTGACAAATTTCATAGTGAGGATGCTGACGTCTATTTTATATTTTTTATGCCGTGTGATCTACTCATAATGCCTTTGTGATCGACCAGTAGATTGCAATCGACATATTGGGCACCCCTGTTCTGAAGCATCCCGTTTTTGTTTTCCATTCATTTCATTTCAGCATTTGCTCTGGTTCAGCTTTTATCAGCTTCTTTGGGTTGATTTCAGCTCTTTTCAGCTTCTTTCTGCTAGTTTAAGATTTTTCTGCTTCATCAGCAACTGTTTTCTGCTAATTTTAGCCTTTTTTCTACTATTTTTGTGCTAATTTCCACCTTTTGTTCTTCTTTCTAATACCTTCAACTTTTTTATTTTATTATTGCACTGTATCCATTTTTGTAACTTGTCAAGGGACTGCAGATGTGAAGTAGCTTTTGCTATAATCTGGTAAGTTGAGTTGTACAATAAAGATCATTCATTCATTCTCCTTCTTTCAGCCTCTTTTTGCCAATTTCAGACATTTTTTTGTTTTCATTTTCAGCTACTTTTCACTGATTTCATCCTGTTTTCTGCTGATTTTAGTTTCTTTTTAGATTTTTAAATCTTTTCAGCCCCTCAAATTGTATCAGCTTATTCTGCTCTTTCGACTAAATTTCTACTCTATTCAGCTAGTTCTACAGATTGCTGCTGCTTTCCACTTTTACTTTCCTGCTTTCAGTAAATGTCAGCTGTTCAAATTCAACTCGCATTAACTGTTCTGAGATGGAAACCTTTTCAGCTGGTTTCAGCAGAAATCATTCAGCAATAATCACTCACGCCACGATGCAAAATACATCTTAAATCAGAGTTCCAGTCTAATTTCATTTAGTCAACTTCTGGCCTAAAATGGTCGACGGCAAAAAATAAAACGGCTCATTTCTGAACCAAGCAGTGGGTCAAACCTTCTGTTGTCAAACCAAGTCCTCTTGAGCTTTAACTCAGCAGTTATCAAAACAACCCACCAGTTTTTAATGTGAACAGTGATTGTCTAAGGTTTAAAAACAAACTTCTCAAAAAGGTTAAGCTGCAGCGTCTCAAAAATCTAAACTAAAAAGAAGTTATTAGAAAATCCTTTTATCATCTTATACCAACAGAACTAGTCAAAGGTTTGAACATTTTCAAAACGAATACGTTTCTAAATGTTTCACTGCTGACGAGGTAACAAGCAGTGCACGCTTACTTTTCTTCTTCTTCTTGGCAGGCCGTCCTCTCTTGTTCTTCTTCACTCGGCCGGAGCTGTCGGAGCGAACGGAGGAGCTGTGGACGCTGGAGTCCTCCTGCTCAGACTCATCCTCTTCCAAGTCGTCGCTCTGACGGAGACACGGAAATCACACAACACACGTGAACCAACTCTTCCTCTCAGTGAGTGAGGTGTTGTCAGTGCGGTGTGAACGCCACACTCACAGAGCAGCTCTTCTTCCTCTTGGCACCTACAGGTAAAAGTTTTATACGAATGGGCGCCATCTTCTTAGCCTTGGCCGCAGCTTTTTTCTTGTCAGGCACTCGAGGACTTTTGCTGCGCTTCTTGTATCCTGGACCTGGATATGAACAGAGGAGGTGATGAAGACAACAGGAAGTGGTAAGAAAACAGGAAAACAACAAATGTACTATTCGAGTTTCCCCTTCTGAAGACAGATGATCAGATCTACAGCTCACCACTGACCTTTCCCCTCTTTCGTCTTGGCCTTTCTGATTGGTGGCGGTTGAGGCGGTGGCTCAGGCGAGGCGGTTGCTGCAGAGACCTGCTCGGCGACAGCGATGGCGGCGGCGGCAGCAGCTGCTGCTATGGCAGCGGCATTGCCTTTGAAAGGGCTGTTGGAGCTGAACTCCCTCCACTTGGCCCCCAGGATGGTCATCATCTTTGACATGGGGATCTTCGGGTTCTTCTTGGCTATCATCGGCCTGGGTCCAGCAAAGAGGCGAAACCACGTTGGTAAAACACACGAACTTCAACAATGGTGCTGAGTGACGCTGGTCGCCTCACTTTTGAGACGACCTGCAGGCAGACTGGTTATGTGGGTCAGTGAAGTCGTCCACAGAACTACAAACTAGGCCTGTCGCAATAAACAATAAATCAATTAATCGAATGATGAATTAAAATGAGGTAGATAATTTTCATTTCACCCTGTGACGTGTGCTGATGACCACTTGACCAGGTCACCCTTGTGAAAGAGATCTCGATCTCAACGGGCTCTACCTGGTAAAATAAAGGTGATTGATTGATTGATTTATCGGCTTTATCGTTTCTTCGTGTCTCTCTCTTTCTACTGAAAACACTTAATGACAAAAAGCTCAACTCCGGTGCTCTTCCCTGACCCCTCCCTTTCTCTTTAAAATCCATTTTAACCGTCCAAAATTGCGTTTTTAGATCGTTAAAAGCAGCTAAGCTGAGAAGCTAAGCTACGAGCTAAGCTAACAGGCCATCCTCGGGGAAAAAACCTCCGTCTTGTCGAAGCTCCAAAATTCACGGTTGAAACCCGTGCCTTTGTGTAAAAAGTTTTTCTCTGCAAAAAGAAGGTGAGAACTTGTTAACTGGTTTTTTATTAAAAGCTTTGTGTGAAAAATGCTATAAAGAGCTCAAACCACACAGAGCATCCGTCATTTTGAGAACCGAAAAAAGGATGGAGAGACAGCCCATGTCACGTCAAGGGGCTTCCCTCCCATTTTTCTTAAAGAGACATGCTGCTTGCTCCCTCACTATCCCCACTATCTATGAGGGGTTCTGCAGGGGTCCATCCTGGGTCCCCTCCTATTCTCTTTATACCTGCTGCCACTCGGTGCTATTTTCCAGAAACACAACATTCCCTTTCACTTCTACGCCGATGACTGTCAAATTTACTTCCCCCCTAAGACACAATGGTACATGCTCTATTCGACTTCTGCTCAACTGCATGGCTGACATCAGGGACTGGATGGCTTTAAATTTCTTAAGTTTCAATGAAAGTCTGAAGTCATGTTGTTCCCTCCCAACAACATGATCACAAACCACTGCATTGACCTTTGCGCTCTAACCCTGTCAGAAAAACAAAGTCACAAATCTGGGAGTGATAATGGACCCTTTCATGAAACTTAACAGTCATGTAAACATGATTGTTGAATCATGTCTTTGTCAAATGAGGCGACTTTCTAAGCTTAAGCCATTACTGTCCAAAAATAACCTGGAGACAGTAATACACACATTCATTACATCTAGGCTTGATTACTGCAATTCACTCCTGTGTGGTATCAGTCAGACCTCCATTGCACGACTACAACTGGTCCAGAATGCAGCAGCCCGATTTTTAACCAGTACAGGCAAAAGAGAGCACATTACAACAGTTTTGGCCTCCCTGCACCGACTACCGGTTCACCTTCGAATCCAGTTCAAAATACTCCTGTATGTCTACAAATCACTGACCAGTCCCCCCCCCCCCCCCCATCTCTCTGATTTCCTACAACCGTATCCACGTTCTCTCAGGTCAGCAGACCAGTTGCTCCTCACAGTTCCAGGAACTCATCTTAAGCGCAGAGGTGACAGGGCCTTCTCTGTAGCAGGACCAAGACTTTGGAACGAGTTACCTCTGCTTGTCAGACAGGCCCCCTCCCTCTCGGTTTTCAAATCCCGTTTAAAAACCCACTACTATTCCGTAGTTTTCAACACCAGATGATCTGTGTTTTGAACCTGTTTGCTTCACACAGGTTAGTAGTTATATTTATTATCTGCAACGTTTTTATGTCTATATTTTGGATTTACTTCATTTTGTATGTTGCTTTGTGTGTTGCCTGTTTTCTGTCTGTACAGCACTTTGGTTGGCCTCGTTGCTGTTTTAAGTGCTCTATAAATAAAATGGGATGGTATCCATCCTTGGTTCAAATAGTCTTATACTGCCATCCAGTGGTCAAAAAATGTACTACACTCAAAACAAATTACCAACATTTTTTCTTAAATTTGACAATAATTATTAATAATTGTCAAATTTCAAACAATATTATTGTTTATCACAATCATTTCTGAGACAATTAATCGCCCAGCAAAATTTGTTATCTTGACAGGCCTATTACAAATACCGCCTCAATAAGCCCACACTGAGCAGCAACACATTTGTTTTATTTCTAAAATGTTTCACTTCATACCAAGTCTTAATTAAAACCACCATTTGGTAAAACAAACACTAAGCTGCATGGATGGATATTGAACAGATTCCCAGGTTGCTCCCAAGCTTCTATATGGCGGCAACAAGAGCAACGTTTCCCCTACCGTTATACAAACAGGGTGACCCGCCCTGTCTACAACACTCCCACCCCCCATCAACTACAAGTGCCGACAACCGGCATTGACGTAGCACTAGGCTAGCGATGCGCAATACAAATGCGCTAGCTAAAAAGCTATGGCTATGGAAGTAGCCATCAGTGTCCCTCACGCTGAGCCGTCACCACCCCCGCCCCAGAAAACTGTCAGTGCAAACAGTGTGCAACACAGACGTGTCTCAGTCACACACACACACCCAACGACAACAATCACAGAAGATACGATATACGCCCTGCCAATGCAAGTAAACTAGGGGAAACACTGAAGCGGTATGCTGATGTCGCCCGTCACTGAATTTGAATAGTAAATGTTTGTAGTTTTGGAGATGAGTGTTTTTTCTGGACTGGAATTGAACAGAGAATGCTAGTAAATAAACCTTAATGTTTTTGGTGCAAGATATTCAAGTGGTTACTGTGTAAAAGAACAGAGGTAGATTTTTTTTGTTTCTTGTCCGAGGAAATGCAGAGTGACGGATCCTGGTGATCTCCAGGAGCAACGGTGGAGCCAGAGGGTGGCCAATGGGGGCCTTGGCCACCATAGATTAATCTAACCCAGGGGTGGGCAATTATTTTTTCCATGGGGCCACATGAAAAACAACAAATATTGTGGAGGGCTGGCACAAATGACTTTTTCATTCAACCTTTATTTAGACAGGTAAATCCCATTGAGCCTCGAGGACTCATTTACAAGAGAGACCTGATTTCAACTTAACTCAATACTGCATAATAATAGTATTTCATTATTAAAAGCAGTACATAGCACTGTTTTAACAAGCTGGTAAGAGTATTTGTTATGATTAAGCAACGAAAAAGTGAGGTTTCCTTACAAAAAATGTCATTTATTCAATTAAATTTCCCAGTACAATGGTAAACTGTTAACATTTTTACCATTTGTGATGTTATATTAGTGATCATTTTCAGTCACAATCACCCCAAAACTCATTTTGAGTTTGATATACTGCTGGAAAAAGTTCTTAGCTTTCTAAATATATCACAATATTGTCTTTGTACTCCAAATATTATGAAACATCATATAATAGTGATCGTCACTGAACTGTGATTTCGAGTCCCGGTTCTTTACGTGCCTACATTTGTAGTCTAAACATCTCATTTGGTGTTTATCAGTTCTTTTTTCTTGTTTAGTGAGAGAAGTTTAGTCTCTGTTGGGCTTTAACGGAAATGTTAAAGTCAGGTTCAAGGTCTGAGGTGGAGATGTGAAGCAAAGCTGACATCATCATTGAGAGAGGATCTATATCTGGATTTGGTTAACTTCATTTGTTTACATATGTATTTTGTAATTCTCCTTACGGGGGCCGGTCAGAGTCAACCAAAGGGCCGCATGTGGCCCTGGGGCCGTACAACGCCCAGGTCTGATCTAACCCCAAGTGCCACCCCAAACATTTGAGGAAATTATATGTTTAAGCAAAATAAAAACTAGAAAACATAGTTTCTTCAAAGTATAAGGGTGACTGGATTACTGAACAACCCACATAAAAAAATGCCCTACCTCATAAACTGGCTGAAGGCTTTATAGTTGGTGAGCTCCCTGTAGTCCTCCTCTGTGAAGGTATGATCAACATCCTCCAGTCCCCACTCCCTGGCCAGCTGGGCAGAAGTCTTCTGCTCTACAGGCTGCTGAGAAGAAACCAGGTTGGACTTTTCCAGGTTCGTGTCGCTAAACTCTCAAAGGAGGCCAATTTTACCTTTGTTGTTTCCTCCTGGCTACTGTCTTGATCTGCATCGTCTTTTTTCTTCTTCTTGGTTTTCTTCTCACTCCTTTCTTTGTGCTTCTTCTTCTTCTTTTTCTCTCCAGAGCCATAGTTGCTGGCTGCGCTGTCCAAGTTCTCGCCATAGTCTCGTTCTCTGTCTGAGTTTTGTTCTACATCGCTGTCCTGTGGAAGAAAGAATGCACTCAAGCACGGACTGTGGTCTTCCACGGAAAGAAAAGGATCCGAACAGACAAGTCTACTACACTTACGATCTTTTTTCGTTTTTTTGCTTTGACCGGTTTCCCCTCTTGGTCTTTCTTCTTCGCGTCCTTCTTCTTCTTGGGCCGGCCTTTCTTCCTGCACGGGATCTCTCTGTCCAATATTTCGTCGTCTAGGATTAAGAACACGGAAGACAATAAAAATCAATAATCTTATCAAAACGCTCCCCGATCAGAACAGCTAATCCCTGCTGAACACAATGCCACACAACAAAAGTGTGTTGACCTCTGACCTTATCTGAATCGGACACGTGCTGAATTAGGGCTCTAAGTAGATTTGACAGCAGTGATGCTACAGGAAAATGACAACTGGTTCGTAATGCAACCTTTATGAATGAGCAATTTTGGGTAAATTTCATAAGGGGAAACAGGTCAACCGTCCATGCTAAATTAAGCATGAAAATCTTACTTTTGAAAGTGCAAATTAAGTAAAAATGTCTTTGGTACCTGAGCAACCTATCAGGGAGTACTGTTTAGCCTCCAACCTGACCCAGCTTTATGGAGAGCTGCAAAGTGTTCAGAAAGCCTCAATATGGGCGACAATGAGTTGATACGCTGCCTTTTTGTCGGATTTTATTGTCTGCCTGCCTTTGTTAGGGCTCGCCCCCACCCTCAGCAGCAACATACCCCCCCCCCCCCCTCCTTTCTTCACCAACACCACCTCCTCCTCTTTACTCCCACCCACCAGAAAACTCCCGCGCCTCGACGTGCTGCGTGCGGCCCGCCGAAGGCACGCCGGGGGCGGCAGCGGCACGCACGCAGGGGTCGGTGATTCAGAGGCCGCCGCCTGTGCGGTGAACTGGAACGGCTGCTCACTATTCTCCACACGGAGAGAGGGGGGAGAGGTTGAGAGAGGGGGGGTGGGGGGTTAAAGTCCTCGACAGGAGCGCTAATTTATCTGTCTGGCACGGCTCAAGTCAATGAGCGGGGAGCCGGAGGTTAAAGACAAAGCGATGGATGAATTTTAGCCTCCTGTGTGTCATCCGTACATTTATGTACGTTTAAAAGCAAAACACCGGTGTTGTATTTTACAACGAATGCGCTGTAAAAGCTAACCACTCTCGCTTTTTTCAGCCAAGTTCACTGTCAAAAGAAACTTCCAGAATGTGACGTTCAGGGACCGTTAGCTGCGCGAAGATTTGACACCCCCCCATAACATTACCGTCTAATAAGGCTGTTATAGTTGAGACGGTAAGTGAAGAAACGGATGAGTTCCCGTCCTGTTTAAAGCTGTCAGCTCACAGCGGCCACAGAAACGCGGAGGGTTGTGACAAGTTTGTCTCCTTTCACAGCCGGCGGCTTTCATCGCGTCTCCTCTCCCTCCTCCTCCGCACAGCCAGCCGGGTATCAAATACATACAGCCTCCGGCGCGGGAGTTCGTGTGTTTTAGCTCTTCTGGCCCTCCGGGGCGACCTTATTATTCTTTATCAGCTGGCAGCCCCGGGTGGGGGCTGTCAGAGGGGCGTTTAAAGGACAAAAACAAACTGCTGCGGCGAGTTAAAGTTTGCAGGGAGGTGAAGAGGTGAGGAGGAAGTGGACTGAGGACAGAGTGGGCTCGCGCCGAGGCGTTTTTCCTTCTTTTTAAAACGCGCTCGTGCCATAGAACACAACTTAACGAATTTATGGTTACCGTTACGTGCCTGTCTTAAAAAAAAAAAAAAACTAAAAGTGCTCCATTTTTCTTGGGAGTCCCACTCCGTGCCAGTTTGGACCTCACAGGACACTACATCTTAAATCTTAAAACCTGGTCCGGAATTGTTTTCTTTCAGGCAAACCCTCCTAAAAAAAAAAAAAAGTGTTTTTAAAATCGTGCGCGCGCGCTCCCAACCTCCTCTCCAACTGGTTTTTCTTCAGGTTTTTTTTTTTTCCCGGTACCGTACCTGGCGCGGCCGGTGTTGCAGTTTCCCGAAGCGCCGCCGGCGAGTTTATGTCGCTTGCGTTCTCGTCCAGCAGCTCTCCGTCGTCGTCTTCATCAAAATCTCCTCCCTCGGAATTAACCACCATGCCCTCGTCTTCATCGCAGGAGCGCAGAGGAGAGGACATTATCCTCCCGTCATCGGATAGGGTCCTCAAAAAAATTTAAAAAAATCTGCGCGATTAAAATGTGATATTTATTTAATATTCAAATCGGCACAAACCGAGGAGGGGGGGGGGGATAAAAAAGTGAGGAGGGGGGGCGTTTTGGAATATTTTACACTAAGGCAGAGCAACAAAGATGGCCGCCCTCTTATATTTATTTTTTAACCCCCCCAATAAGAAAAAAAAAAATCCCCTTACATAAAAAATGGCTGACTATATTATTTCAGAACGCACCCCCTCCTTTCTCTAACTCTCTCCGTGTCTGCGCGCCCCCTCCCTCCCCAAAAACGTACACATTGTTAGAAGAAGGGGGTGTATGTGAAATGCATGTAAGTTATTGTTACTTGTTTGTTTCTGTTCTGTGTGACCCCCCCCTCCTCTGTTTTCTCCAAGTCACGACAGCCTTTGGTGTCGCTGTCAGAGGATCACACTGTCTGCATTGCAGAGCCGACACATATATCAAACATGGCCACCTCTCCGGAGCCCCCACCGCTTATGAAAGAGCAGAGAGGAAGAAAGAAAAGGTATTTTGGAGCAGCAGCAGCAGTGAGTGCTGGGGAGGGATCCAGGGAGGGAGAGATGGGGGGGGCTGGGAAAATCTGCCGCAGCCGTGCCCAGACTTACATCAGATTGTGTTGCTTAAAAATTAACTGCTTGTGGTGGGGATGAAAACAAGAAAATAATCATGCAAACATGTTTCCATCAGGGGGAGGACACAAATCAAAGCGCCATGTCTCTGCGTCTGCTGCAGATGTTTTTATTTTATATATATATATGTTATTTTTAATTTGAGCTCTTTGCAGCTGGTGTGAACTCTGCTTAGCTGCAGGAGGTGTCAGCTGGGTGGCAGTAAGGCCATGGGAATGCCTCCCCAGCCAGAACCTTACTGGCTGCTGCAACCTCAGGGCATCTTTTTTTTTTTAAATTGTGCTCAGACCTCCCAAGAGATGAGCACAAAAAGCACAAATGAGCTTAAACTGAGTAAGTATGGAGTTAAATATGCTTCTAGTGCATTTTTAACTTAAAATAAATACTATTGCAATTTGGTTTCGCTTTTTTTCTGCTAATTCACGGTAAAATTATTCAGCAAAGTGAGTGAAATAATATCAAAGTTCATGCTCGGTAATCCAGGTAAAAATAACAAATGACAATGTTAAGTCAGGTCGTCTGGACCGTTTCTTTTTTTTTTTTTTTTTGAGACATTGCGTCCTTCATCCAAAGGACTTCATCAGTCCGAGGAGCCACAACAAACTCAGTTCCACACTTGCATAGTGGACCAACCAGTTTGCTGGTGATAAAATGGTTTCTGGGGCCCGCCCTCTCCCCCGTCGACTCCTCTGAGGCAGCCAGAGGTAACGTGGTTCAGAACATCAAAGTTCATGCTCGATAATCCAGGTAAAAAATAAAATAAAATCCAACAAAGTTCAGTCAGGAAGGTTTTTTTGTTTTTCATCCAAAGGACTTCATCAGTCCGAGGATCCCCGTCAACTCCTCTTGAGGCAGCCATAACCAAAGTGGCTCAAAACATCAAAGTTCATGCTCAATAATCCAGGTAAAAAAAATTATCAAAGTTAAGTCAGGTCGTCTGGACTTTTTTTTTTTTTTTGGACGTTTCGTTCTTCATCCAAAGGACTTCATCAGTCCAGGAAGCCACAACAAACTCAGTCCCACAAGCAGCACACTCACATAGTGGACCAACCAGTTTGCTGGTGATAAGATGGTTTCTGGGGCCCACCCTCTCCCCCGTCGACTCCTCTGAGGCAACCAGAGCTAACGTGGTTCAAAACATCAAAGTTCATGCTCAATAATCCAGGTAAAAAAATCCAACAAAGTTAAGTCAGGTCGTCTGGAAGGTTTTATTTATTTATTTATTTAGATGTTTCATCTTTCATTCAAAGGACTTCATCAGTCCGAGGAGCCACAACACACTCAGTTCCACAAGCAGCACACTCACATAGTGGACCAGCCAGTTTGCTGGTGATAAGATGGTTTCTGGGGCCCACCCTCTACCCCTTCGACTCCTCTGAGGCAGCCATAGCCAAATTGTTTCAAAACAAAGTTCATGCTCAAAGATCCAGGTAAAAAAATCCAACAAAGTTAAGTCAAGTTGTCTGGATGGTTTCTCTTTTTGCTGAGACGTTTCGTCCTTCATCCAAAGGACTTATTCAGTGCGAGGAGCCACAACAAACTGAGTCCCACAAGCAGCACACTCACATAGTGTGCCAACCAGTTTGCTGGTGATAAAATGGTTTCTGGGGCTCACTCTCTACCCCGTCGACTTTGGATGAAAGACGAAACGTCTCCAAAAAAAAAAAAAAAATCCAGATGACCTGACTTTACTTTGTTGGATGTGCAAAATAATGCTTTTTCTCATAGAACTTGACTTTATCTCTTCTTAAATTTACTGTGTTTGATATGTCAAAAGCTGAGAGGACATGAATAAAGTTTTATTTTTATGCCATAATCTCAAGTCAGTTAAAAATATTAGTGGAATATATTCATTTGTTTGACTTTGAATAACTTGTTTCACAATAATTTAAAATTTTCAGACTCACAATTAAATCTATTGATCCTCTGACTGCACTGTTGCAGATACCTTTAACTGATATTTTCTTTGTTTATTAAAAATGATCTGTCCTAAAGACAGGAAGGAAAGGTGAAACGTTTCAGCACCAAAAAAAAAAAAAACTGTCCACATGACCTGACTGAAAATTGTTGGATTATATACCTGGATTATTGAGCATGGACTTTGTTGTCCTAAAGACACATTTTAACAAAAATACTGTAATACCCAAATGCACCTGTAGGTGGCGAGAGTGTCCATATAAACAGCTCACCAGAGTACAAAGAAGAACAGTTTAGACAAAAATTGTCCCAAAACAATGTAGGCTGGTTGTTCGCAGGTTGGCGTTCAAGGAAATGTTTACGACAGAGTCCGTCCTCGGAGCAGAGGTCCAATATTTTTTGCGTCATTGACCGGTTACATTCAAGATAATTTTCACAGATCAGTAAAGGAAAAGAAATTCTCCAGAAGTTATAAATATATATATATATTGTTGATTTTGCGTCTTCGCTCCGCCCGAGTTCGTTGTTATGGCTTGTTGTACAGGAACAAGGAAGGAAAAACTAAGTTACACTAAAAATAGGACAGAGTCGCTATTTTAAGTTCACACGTATATTTAATAGATAATAGTCACAAGATACATTTTTAGGAATACAATTTTGGTTAGTAATTATTGCAAAAATAAAATAAAAGTGATGAAGTAAATGTATTGAATGAATTCGCATTCATTCTGACCAATACGACCTGCACAGTTGTTCAGCTCGTGCTGCATGGTTCTGATTCTGCCCTGGGCGGTTCTGTTTCTCTCTGCCGAGGGGGGAGATGCTTCATGCTTTTATAACCTGGCTTGGGTGCTGCCCCGTTTGGAGCAACACAGAACTTACAACCTCCCCCAAAATGTTCCTTTGTCTAACTTCCACAGTTTTTCTTCTAAATGTTGTTGGAGTTTCATATTTTCCTATGAAACATATCAATGTCGTTTTATTAAGTGTGCATGTCTTTCTTCAACTATATAATCACAACTTTTATCTAATTAAAAATGTTCATCCTAGATACTTACTTTATATATATGAAAACTGAAGCAAACTTCACCAGAGTGTTAAACCATGTTTAATGCAGACAATAAAACTCACTAAATAACTCTTGACTGCAGCATCCCATTTAACAGTTTCAGATAATCAGAACAAAGAAAGTTCAATCTGTCCTATTCCTCAGAATACACTAACTACTCCTTGCAACCTACACGTATATGAGGTCATCTGTCATATAACTTATAGTCTGGAATGTATCAATTAGTCCTGGCCGGTCGTAAAACCTCGTATCCATAGCAACGCAGCTTTCTAAACCAATCAGAAGGTGAGGCCTCTTGTAACATCAACAAGAAAGTTCTGTTCACCTCCCCCTATCGTGCTGTTTTCTGCTGAGTTTAAACAAAGGAACTGATGACAGAAAATGCCTGTCCTTTCAGCCTTACACAGACTTTGTTGAATAGTAAATAAGTTTCACCAATACATAAAACTAAAGAATTAAGCACACAAATATATTTTATTTCACAACAAT